TTTGAAAATAATATTTCTAAATTAGACCCGAGTTCCAAACCCTTTTGGAAACTCACAAAAATTTTGAAAAAACCTCAAAAGCATATTCCAGCGCTTAAAGAAGGTGGTAAAATTTTGATCACAAATTTGGAAAAAGCTCAGAAACTTGCTAAGCAATTCGAGAGTTCCCATAATTTCAGTTTGGGTCTTACTAGTCCTATTGAGAATCAGGTTGCTCGGGATTTTCTGAATATTTTCTCTCGGGAAAATATTTTTGATGATTCCTGGGGGACTGATTTGGACGAAGTAAGGTCTATAACTAAAAAGTTTCAAAATATGAAAGCTCCAGGTGATGATGGAATTTTCTATATCCTCATCAAAAAACTCCCAGAGAGTACCTTGTCTTTCTTGGTAAAATTATTTAACAGATGTTTCCATTTGGCATACTTTCCTGATAAATGGAAAAATGCAAAAGTTGTTCCAATTTTGAAGCCGGATAAAAATCCAGCTGAAGCTTCTAGCTACCGCCCAATAAGTTTGCTTTCTTCAATAAGTAAACTTTTTGAAAAGATAATTTTAAATAGAATGATGCTTCACATCAATACGAACTCAATTTTTGCAGATGAGCAGTTTGGATTTCGCCATGGGCATTCAACTGCTCATCAACTCTTAAGAGTTACCAATTTAATTCGTTCAAACAAATCGGAAGGCCACTCAACTGGAGTTGCTCTTCTAGACATAGAAAAAGCATTCGACAGTGTTTGGCATGAAGGTTTGATTGCTAAATTGAAAAAGTTTAATTTTCCACTTTATATTATGAAATTAGTTCAAAATTATTTAACTGACAGAACTCTGCAGGTAAATTATCAAAATTCCAAATCTAATCGACTACCTGTTAGAGCAGGAGTTCCTCAGGGTTGCATTCTTGGGCCTATATTGTATAACATTTTCACTTCGGACCTCCCTGATTTGCCTCAGGGTTGCCACAAATCTTTGTTCGCTGATGACACAGGCATTTCCGCTAAAGGAAAAAGTCTTCGTGTTATTTGCAGCAGACTGCAGAAAAGTTTAGATATTTTCTCTTCTTATTTACAAAAATGGAAGATTTCTCCCAACGCTTCCAAAACTCAACTTATAATATTTCCACACAAGCCTAGAGCTTCGTTTTTGAAACCTAGTAGTAGTCACATAGTCACTATGAACGGAGTTCCAATTTCCTGGTCAAACCAAGTGAAATATCTTGGATTAATACTTGACCAAAAATTAACTTTTAAAGATCACATTGAGGGCATTCAAGCCAAATGTAACAAATATATTAAATGTTTGTATCCTCTTATAAACAGGAAATCCAAACTTTGCCTGACGAATAAACTTCTAATATTTAAACAAGTTTTTAGACCGGCCATGCTTCACGCTGTGCCAATATGGTCTAGTTGTTGCACTACCAGGAAAAAAGCACTTCAAAGGATTCAGAACAAAGTTCTGAAAATGATTTTGAAGTTGCCTCCCTGGTACAGTACTACCGAGGTACATAGAATTTCGAATGTTGAGACTTTAGAACTAATGTCCAACAAAATAATGAATAATTTCAGACAAAAATCGTTGCAATCCTCAATTGCAACGATTAATTCCCTTTATACTTAGATAAGATTTAGTTTTAGTTTTTAGTTTTAAGATATCAATTGTTATACTGACATGCAGGTTAAAAAACCTGTTTAAAATACTTAGTTGCCAAGACATGAACAATGTAAAAACACTTAGATATATATCATAACAATTAAGGCTGGTACGTTACTGCAGTAACTGGAGCACCTAGGTTAAAAATGAAATGTAATTTATTTTGAATTTGGAACAAATAAAGAGTTAAAAAAAAAAAAAAAAAAAAAAAAACGAAATCGAATTCTGGAGCCCTGGAACCGATGCCAATGTGGACTAATGTCACCTCAAACAGTCTTCATTGACCTCATTTATTAAACTGCTGTGATTTGACCTGCAGCATAATTCATTTGTCTCGAATATTACGATAGCCTATAGCACTGGATTTTGGGACCTCCAGAACCGATGTCAATGTGGCCAGATGTCATCGGATATATCAGAGACCCTATTTTCAGTTTATTAATAGCGATTTCGACCCAATTGAATTCAGAAATTATTATGGCTACTAAATTTAAAGAATTCGAACATGTATGGGTAAAAGTGCAAGTAGCAGACGAAACACATGTCTTTGCTTTGGTATACTTTCCTCCAAACAATGCTCATAAGGACACGTATGATAAGTTTTTTGGAAAAGCGGAAGAAATTTTGTCTAGTTTACCCCCTGAAGTAAAAGTTCATATATATGGGGACTTTAACCAACGCAATGTTGACTTTATTTCTGATATGGACAATGAAAGCATCTTACTTCCAGTCGTTGGGGAAAATGAAACACTCCATTTCATTTTTGACAAAATTGCAAATTTAGGACTCAATCAAATTAACCATGTGAAAAATCAACAAAATTGTTATTTAGACCTTTTATTAACAAATACTTATGAAGATTTCTGTGTGACTGAATCGTTAAGTCCCATATGGAGAAATGAAATGTTTCACACAGCAATAGAATATTCTCTATTCGTTCACATAAATTAAAGAACCAACGACTGCGAATTTGATGAAATTTTTGATTACAATTCAGCAAATTATGATAACATTAGAAATAGATTGAACATTGTCGATTGGCAAGCAATATTAAGAACTGCAGGAAATGTTGAATGTGCAGTTGACGTATTCTACAATGTGTTGCTTGAAATAATACTTGAAGAAGTGCCAACTAAAAGAAGAAGACGTCAGAGTCATGCAAAACATCCAGTTTGGTACAACAGGGAACTGAAAAATTTAAAAAATCGAAAGCAAAAAGCGCACAAATTTTATAAAAAATATAATAGTGAAGAAACTTTGGCATACTATTTAGACATTTGCGATCAGTTAAATTTGGCCGTGAATATGGCATTTGAGGAGTATAATTTAAAAACTGAACTTGAAATAAAATCTTGTCCTAGAAACTTCTTCAATTATGTGAAAACAAAATTAAAATCTGATAATTTTCCCTCAAAGATGCATTTGGACGATAGGATAGGTGAGAACTCGGATGATATATGCAATTTGTTTGCAAATTTCTTCCAAGAAATATATACTACGTTTTCAGAAGAGGACCGTGACCGTGAATATTTTGAATCATATCCAGAATTCTCAAGTGACATCAGCGTAAGTCAAATCAAGGTTCATGATATCTTAAAGGGTTTAAACAATTTAGATGCATCTAAAGGTCCTGGCCCTGACGGTGTTCCGCCAGTTTTTATGAAAACTTTAGCAATTGAACTTACTGCTCCATTATTTTGGATTTTCAATATGTCACTGGAATCCGGAAACTTTCCTATAATATGGAAAAACTCGTTTTTAGTGCCTATCTTTAAATCGGGTAAAAAATCCGACATACGTAATTATCGTGGTATAGCTATTATCTCTTGCATTCCGAAACTTTTCGAGGCGATTGTAAATGAAAAACTCTTTCTTCAAATTAAAAACAGAATAACTACTATGCAGCATGGCTTCTTTAAAGGCCGTTCAACAACTACGAATTTGCTCGAATTAATTAATTATTCCTTGAATGCAATGGATAACGGAAACCATGTAGAAGTGTTGTATACAGATTTCAGCAAAGTGTTTGATCGAATTGACATACCCATGCTTCTTTTTAAACTTCAAAAAATGGGAATTCATTACGCACTCCTCAAGTGGCTTGAATCATATTTAACTGACCGTCATCAAATAGTGAAATACAAAGGAAAGATATCAAATCCCGTTGATGTCACTTCAAGGCTCCCATTTATGCACTCCGCAAGTTAGGTTGGACTGTATTTCCTCTGCCATCTTACACAGCTCGGTGTATGCTCATAAATATCCAAACATTAAAAAAGCGTCGTGAATTTGCTATGATTTCTTTCGTAAACGATATCGTATCACATCGAATTGATTCAATAGAACTATTGTCATCCTTAAATTTATATACACCATCTAGGCATTTACGAAATAGAAATATATTTGCTACAAATCGTCATCGTACGAATTATGCCAAATTTGGACCCTTGAACCAAATGATGGATACATATAATAAGCACTGCGATAACATTGACTTTACAATGACAAAAACCAAATTAAAGCAATATTTTAATTCGTCGCATAACGTCAACTAGAAGTAATGTTTTAACTTGTTCTTAAGACATATTATAAAAATATAAACAAAGACAAAATTGTAAAAATAGCACTTAAGACAACAATTGTAAAACGGTCTACACTGATTGACGACAAATAAATAAATAAATAAATAAATAAATAGTTTGGCATGATTTGACATGCTCCATGATATAGCTACTTTGAACTTAATAATGTTACAACAAACCCTATATTGGAACTTCAGGAACGGAATTCCAGAACCCTGGAACCGATGTTGACTGGCCATATGTCACCGGATGCACCTCAAATGGTCTTCATTTGTTTGATTCTACCTATTTGACATGATTTTAAATGATGCATGATACGATTTCCAGAAGAATTACTATGTTTTATAGATCCGGATTCCATAACTTCCGGAATCGATAATAACGTAGCCAGACATTGTAGAAACATTAAATTCATTCGTACTTTCATTTCATTCATTCGTACATTTCATATTTCATCTATTTGATATTGTTCAATGCACCAGATAACCAAGTCGTCAGACAACAAAAAGCATTTGTTCATGCTTGTGGAAAAAAAAACCAGAAAAATACAGACATATTTGTATCTCTCAAACGCAGGAGGGGTCTACCGGAGCGTTACCTACGTTAAAAGTTAGATCCTATTCCTCTTCAATAAAAAATCAGGTTTATGAAAATCGATTGTGACACTGCTGAGAAAGATCATTTTGAAAAAATAAATTTCGTTCTGGTACTTTAAAACAACTAAAATTCTCAGAAATACAAATCAACTGTAAATTTACTCACCCTCGTTGGAACAGGTCCACATTGTAGAACTTGTAGAGCTCCACGGCAAATTCTATCGTTGCCTGAAGATCAGCCATAATCCTCGTTCCTGTCTTGGTAGTAGCCCCAACCCACGCTAGTAGCAGATCACAATCGTATTACACACCTGTGTACACCGCACAAATCTGAAATTTTCCGATCCACCCACCCATCCGGTATGCTTTTCATTATCTGTTCACTGAACCGTGACAGTGTTCATCCCTCATTTGAGATGCTCATTTGTACTAACGATCTCAAGCTCCAACCGACGCCGACACTTCCAGTTGCGTTTTCACGGATTTACACACTTCACTTTCCCTTTGCTACTATTTATTAGTATTCACCTAGCACCATGCAGAAGGACCTTTTGCATCAGATCGAATAAATCTTCCCATTGCCCGGGGTTTTATTTATCACACCCCAGTGATGGAAAGTTATATCTCTGCCGTTTTTTATCTTCTTTCAAATGTTTGAGGATTTAAACGTTTATCTTTTATCACTCTTCGCACATCTTTTCCTTTCCAGACGCGGAGATTTTCTCGACCGATATAATCGCCGCGATTACACCGCACGTTATTTTTTTTTTCCTAAAGCTGTCCCCGGATCCGAGGGAGGGAGTTGCTCACATAATAAATCGCTTTCCTATGGAAAAGACAAAGACAGAAGATGATGGTTAGGGTAGGTATTTGTTTGATTCCTTTTGATTGCGCTGTGGGCGGGGGTGTCTGAGCTGGGAAATGTTCGTCTTGCGTCATAATAAACAAACACATATTCACTGTGGAACGCACACTCACACACATTCAGAAACCGGCGGTGGTATGGATGTTCATAGAACAAAGAAGGAGGAAAAATCGTTTTGATTCGTTTCCTGGCTGCCTATCCGAGCTGTTGGCTGGTGGATCTGAGCGGTGTGATTAGTTCTTCGTCAAGGATATTTCCTGAGTTTTCTTTATATTTTCCGGTAGAATGAAGTGGAGAATAAAAAAAAAACATTCGCACAAATGTTTATACGGTCGTTATTTTTTTCGGTTCAGAAGGTGTGATAAGTGGGTGGACGATAGGAAACGTCTACACAGTTTTTCTTATTGCTGGCGGCTCTTTGACCTTTTCCATCGTTGAGTGTTTATCACGTTCTCTTGAGGGATGTTTTCGTTTCTTCTGATTGCCAAGTTATTTGATCGAAAGTGGACGGAATGAACTTTTTTGGTAGTTTTCCTCTCTCGTGAAAAGGATTTGGTTCTTGGTAAACTTTGTGTGGGCAGAGAATTACTACTGTTTATGACATTCATAACGGATGGAAATTTTATTGAATAACTTGGTTTCCTAAAACACGATTAAATTAACTAGCATGATGTTTGAACATTTTAATGTTTTATGATTTTATAATAAAGTTTTAAAAGCTATAAGCTATAAGCTAGATGGATCCCTGTCCCTATTTCCAAACCCCATCTAGCAACTGTGCAGTGCAACACTGGTAGTATCTAAATGGAAATGGGAAATATGAATGCATCGAAAAAAATCCACTAACACTCTGATCCGGGTTGCCATTTTGCTGTGAGCTTGAGTGAGAGCTGCTTCTAGCAAAAGTCACCTTCTCTGTTTAAGGTGAATCGCTGTGACATCCTTATTTTAGGAACCACTTCGAAACTTTAAGTGCACAAATATCAGCTTATACGACACGTGCAACATTCAAATTGTTACTCCATGTTTACTGCACTGCAGCATACATGAAGTTGCATTTTCAGATGAAATCGAAGTGTATGTATAGCCTATGTGGCGGCTATTTGTGAACTCTACAAGGAATCACCTTAAGTTTTGCGGATGAGTTCAAATCTAGATGAACATTTCGAAAGGTCCTATCTGTATTGATCGTTTTATTTATCGATTTTCTCTTTGGTTAATCACTCATCTGCAAACAACATTCCCTTTCGTGTTTGGCGTAGAACCTCCTTTATCAAACTAGGGGAAATGGCTCGAATGTTGGCTTATGGAGTTAAGCTTGGGCCCATCGCTAAAAATCTGCTATTTATCATTTTTATCTAGATTTCTCGTTTTGCTTTTCATGTTCTTGGTGCATTTCAGCGCTGAGCAAATCTGTTGTACTGTAATCATATCCACCGGAGGCACCACACAAGGGGAGGCATCTAGGTTTTGAACGCATTGCGCAACCTGATCATCGAGCGGACTTTGGATAGTCGAGCCAAGCAAATGCGATGAAGCGACATGCTGGCCGATCGCATTTGCTTTCTCCTGTGGGGTGATTAAAAGCCGATCGTCATCATTTTCGACTTTGAGAGGTGGAACAGGTTTGGGATGATTTTTCAGGACCTTGAAAACAAGCCCGAAACTTTCATTTCGGAGTGAGTCCATTCTGGAAGCAATCTGCCTGTTCAGATTGGCCATTTCACGTTTTTTTTTCCCAGATCTACAGTCCTCTGAAACTGGCGTCTACGAACACTTTTCAGGCGAATCAAGAGTTGGGTGTGGGAATCAATGGCAATAAACTTACCCCTCACAGAAACTCGTCGGACGCACGCCTCGTCAGCCACGAGTGGAGTCCCTCCAACGCTCGGTCGATGTCCTCCACGGTGCCAAGCGGCTGGTTGTCGATGATGTGCCTGTCTACCACGCGTCCAAACTGGGCCCAGTTTACACGGTGGTAGTCCCTGTGCAGACTTGGAGCAGGGGCCACGTTGCAGCCCAGTTCAGCCCCACCGGTTGGTAGTCGGAGCTTAGTTCATTCGAGACTACCGGCTTGGACAAGCCGGTATTTGTCAGGAACAGGCCTAGCGTCGATGGGTTGCCCGCCGGTGAGATGAATGTTGGCTCATTCGAAAACCAAACGGAGTACAGCTTATGCTGCGAGTGGTTGAACAGCAGACGACCGTTCTGGTTCTGCCTGTAGTTCCGCCAGGCCTCATGGCGAGCATTTAGATCTTCTCCAACTACGAAGCAGGGACCGGTACGGGTGATCGTGGACAGGTCCTTCTTGAATTTAGCCGCTAATCCACTGCTGGCGGCACACTGTCGAGGTCAATAGACGGCGATGAACTGGACGTATCCAGTCGATGACTCCACCTCCACACCAAGGGCATCGATGATAGAGTATTTTATTCCTTTCTTGAGGACGACCGCAACACCACCACCCCTGGAGCTGATGCGATCAAGCCGAATAATGTTGTGGTCAGGCAACCAGAAGCTGTCGCCGGACTTTAGATGGGTCTCGGTTAGAAGGCCCACGTCGATGCTGTGCTTGCGGAGGAAGTCGGCAAGCTCAATCTATTTTGCTCTCACAGAGCAAGCATTCCAAGTGACGATAGTAAGCGGTTTAGACGCCATACTGGATGATGAATTTACCGAGCACTTGGATCTGTTCGGGCTTATTGCGGCACTTACGAAGAGCACCGGACATGTTGACGAAGATTTCCATCAGTTCATCCGCTGAGAACAGATCGGGGTTGTTGTTTTGCGCTGTTGGTTGTCTCCAGAATCCAGGAGAGATGGAGAGCTTTGGCCAGCAGAATCACCGGAAGTTGCTTGAGCGGAATGCACCCGAGAATTCGCTTGCCTTTGCTGAAATCCTCCGTCCAAAATGCCGCCTGTTTTTGGATGTGTTTGAAGTCCTCGCGTTTGGAGCACTGTCTGTCGGAACATTGATGAGCACCACCACAGTTGTCGCATTTTAACGCCACGGCTCTATCCACAGGGCAGTTGAAAGTGGCGTGTTCTTGAGCGCAGTTGCTACAGCGTGGCTTAATGTTGCAGTTGCGAGTGCCGTGTCCAAAGTTCAGGCATCGTTGGCACTGGGTCACATCGCGATGGCTTCCATGGTATGGCTCCCATCGTACTATGATGGAGTAGATTGAGTGGATACCCGAGCAAAGTAAAATACAAATTGATGACAAGTTCTATTACCCGGTTATCACTTTTTGATAGCTGAATATGTTATCATTATGGTTGAATTAACTGCCAACATAACAAAAATGATATTAAAAAATTGCTCGTTGGATATCACAAAAATAACTAATTTTGTTATCATTGATAATATCTTGATAACAAATTCTGTAAGCCATACAAATTTATTCCATAAATTTCAAATCATGTTATCATTTTGATATCAAAGCCTTACGCTGATAACTGAAATATGATTAGGGATTAAAAGCACTATTTTTATTGTTTCAATGCGAATGACATTTAAAGTTTTGAACTAACCTTGTATCGCTAAATAATATATAGTGATTTTTTCATGATAACAACTGATAACAAAATTGATCAAGGCTGATAACTAAATAAGTTATGAGATAACAACTGAAAACAAAATGATATCTGGGATAAAAAGACTTGTTATCTAGACGATATCGGGTTGTTATTCTACTTTGCTCGGGTAGACTGCAGCGCATTCAGCGTCACCGTTCTCTTCTGGAAGTGCACCAGGAAAAGACAAATGGGTACGTCTTCAGTTTTTCGTCTCTCCTCGTCATCCGAAAGACAGCGATTGGGGCCAGCTTGTACCGGTCCTTGAGTTCTTCTTCGATTGCCTTGGGGTCAACATTCGGTAGACCCATGATGACTACCTTGAAGGGCTTCTCACCGGGGATGTCGTGGCATTGGAATCCTTCAGGAATTTGACGGCAATTTCGTATTCCGCTTTCGTCCGGAGCATCACCTTAGTGCCGATCCTGCTGATCTTGTACTTAGCTGCGTTGCCGAGCGATGCAAAATCGCCAATGAGCGTCTTGAGTGGCACTACCTTCACTACCAGTGGAGGAAGCTTGACTTTCACCGCACTCGGGCCGGCAGAATTCTCGATTTCGACGGCGTCGTCGAAATCACCGATGTCGCTGGCGTTCGTCGCGGTAACATCGTCGCGTCCGCTCGTACCATCACGCTGTCCTTGACTCTTCTTCCTCATTTTCGTCTGCTTCACCGGGGCTGGGTTGGTATTCCCAACAGGGTACCGAGCTACCCTCATCACTGTTCTTCTTCTCCGCTTGGTCACGAAGTCTGCTCCGGGAGCGCTGTCTTCCAATCACGCGATGCGACCGACACAACTGACGACGTGACGTGCAGTATATCTGCGAAAGTTTGTATCAAACCATAGGTTTATCGAAAAGCTCGACAGAGCGAGCCAAAGCCGAACTTTACTGATTGACGGTCAAGCAGAGAATGACCACTCACCATTGACAGATGAGTTGAGGCTGGACAGCAGCGCTCTTTTATATCTTTTCAGGTTAAAGCAGAATGATGTGCAACCAAGTGGTACTCGATTATGACGACTGGGTTTGGGAAGAACATTTATTTATTTAATAAAAAAAAAGTGATACATTTATTTGTACATAATGTCAATGCTTGACATTACCACTTTTTCAATAGTTTCTTGTTGAAAATGATCAGTCGGAAGCATTGTTATCAATGCGTAGAAATATTTCTGATTGATTGATGATAAAGTTATTGAAATTTGATGAGAGGCAGCTGAGTTATTAATGTTAAAAATCTTTCATAATTCCATGTTCCTTTTTCAGTTTTCACAAAGTGTACCCCCATATAGCACAGACGTAGTCTTACGTCAAGAAACAAGAAACTATTGAAAATTGGTAAATGTCAAGCATTGTCCAAAAGCGTC